TTTATTATGGCCTGTTTGTATTTAAAAAAAAAAATAACATCAAAATAATTTGTTTCATCTAGAAAATTTATTTCTTTGGACTCAGTGCTGCCCCAACTTGTTGCTGTGGTATGTTTTAAAGTTGTCTTAGCTTTAAATGTAAAATTAGATTTATTTTCTGTGGCTCTTCTGGTCTTCCCTAACAAACCATCGCTTAGTTAAAGTTGTCTTGGATTTAAACGTAAAATTTGATTTTTTTTTCTTCTTTGCTGTGGCTCTTCTGGTCTTCCCTAACAAACCATCGTTTAGTTAAAGTTATCTTGGATTTAAACGTAAAATTAGATTTTTTTTTCTTCTTTGCTGTGGCTCTTCTGGTCCTCCATAGACTGCGGAACACTCTGATGTCCTTTTGTTAAATTTAGCTTCAACGGAACAGAATACAGTTCAGGTTTATTAGACATGCTGTAAATCAGACATCCGGAAACAAAAAAACAAACAAACAAGCAGGAAACTCTTTGAATTCTAAATATCAGGAAATAATTTATGTGAAAGGAAGAAGGAAGTTATTATTTTAAAAAGCAGGTTGGAGAAAAAGTGTCCTGAAACACAGAGTTTCAAAGAGGATGCCTGCCAGGAAACGCCTCAATAATGATGATAAAAAAAACACATTTCTGATAATTATTAGAAATTCCTCATAGTTTTTAATTAGGCTCATTTATCTGTAATATTGCAACGTATAGAGCATCTAGATATAAACGATATAGAGTCGTCTTATTGAAGGTAAATCCATTCAAGGAATGGTTTAATTAAAAGCTAGATTTCTACAGGAATGAAAGTAAATTTTTCACTTTTTAATCATGAAACTTGAGAAAAAAGTAAAACCAAAATCAAAGGTTTGTGCAGTAAAATCAGTTTAACTCAGGTTTTCTGTGAAGTTTTAATTTCATTTGTTCTTCTTCTCTGACATAAAACTGAATTACGACCCCAAATAATATTCTGTCCCAAAGCAGCAGATCCCAGGATATTTCACCCAGAGGAGGAACTGGAGAGCAGCGGGAGAGCGAGGAAAAAAACACGGACTGAAACAATCTGAACACAGAGAGCTGCACCCAGTT